TATTATTACTATTATTATTATCATTACTACTATTATGACTAAATGCACAATTTATATTCATCATCGTATTATCCTATCGACAAAACACCATGATTGGTTTATATTTGAATTTTTATTTGTAAAGTTATGTATATTAGAGTTGACCCTGATGAGATCTAATTGAAAACAAAATTGTTCGCTTAAATGTATTGTTCTAAATTTTATATATATATATATACATTGATATAATTAACATACCTTAGGCTTTTGTCTTATATATGTGAAGATCTCGTCTCATGTAGAGTTCATTACTTCTCTCTAAACAGTAACTTTTATTAATTACGAACCATTATTTTTCAATAGTTAGGTTGTAAGGATTAGATTTGTTTATACGAGTTTGACCAAGGATTGATATCAGTTAGAGAAACAATCAAAACCAGGGAGTACTGGACAGCTAGATATTCAATCCTAGTTTGATAATCATCGGCAGAACGCACACCCTGAGGTTCGAACTCAAGGCCTGCCGGTTACTAGGCAAGCTCGTATGCCATTCAGACACTGAGACCTGATTCATTGATCAACACATGAACTCTAACTACTACCAATGCATGATTTAGCGCGACCACCAACCAGAGTCATTGGGGGGACTTCCGTTTTCCCACTTGACTGGATTTCGTTGAGAGGGAATGAAGGCTTGTTGATAGTTGTAGGAGGAGCTAGAAGAGACAGCAGAAAACAGAAAAGAATGGAGGTGTGCTGTTGAAGTCCTACATTCTATGCGAATTCTCAGGAAGGAGTAATATTCATAATAATAATAATAATAATATCCGCATGCTTTCCATAGCACAAGTCTATCTGACTAAATCTTCATAGATTTTTATGAGCTTAACCAAAGATGTGTATTAGTTGTCATCAGTTCTCAGTGGATCAATATGTGTACTTCCATTTGGTATGCACTTAGTTTGTAGAATTATTTCTTGCTGTGAAGTTTCACCTTAAAGCTCACTAACTGGTAAGTAATAAATTGATTTTCTGTTATTCAGCTATCCATTTCTGAATAAACCCTATACGACTCTCTGAAACTAACATTAACTCCTAATCTTTACCTCATTGTAACCTGCACAAATCTTTCTTTAAGTTAATTAGCACATATATACATACATGTTTAATCTTTTGTTTACATTTAACGTAACCTCAATAATAATGATAGTAACAATGATAATAACAATTTGCTGTAAAAAATGTAAACACTTCCGCTTGGTATTTTCTTAGAAATATTTGTTTCTTTTAAATCAATAATAATCTTTCTACCAGCTTTCATTCTTTTCTGTGCAAATTGAGAGTAATATTGGACACTTCGTCGCTATTCACGTCAAGATCCATACTAGCATTCTATGCATACTCAGTTCAACACTTTGGTATATATGATGTAAAATTAGGTCGCCATTCTTCTTAAAAGAAACTGACTCGTTACTTCTGTTCACCAATGATATTGCTAATCGTGGTCAACTGGATTATACGTCAGACTGCGAGTGGGGAGCAAGAAGACGAGAGTACGCTGCACTGATCGAGAGTAAGACTCTAGAAGATCTAGATTACGTGCGTGTGGATGATTTGTGTTCAGTGTCACTCACACAGACTCGGAGACTTACAGGCGAAAACAAACAAACTGGTTGAAGTAGTGGCAGCGGAGAGAGGACCTCCTGTGAACATAGAGAAGATGGAGGTGATGAAGACAACTAAACAAACAACCGATCATCCAACCAAACAACCAACAGCAACAGTAACAGCAAACAGTGCCATCCACTTTCAACGGGAGAAGACTGGAAGAGGTTACTCCCTTCTCTTATCATGGAAGCACGCTCACAACCACAGGCGAACACCACGCATGCAGATTTCAAAGAAAGTCACAGTCGGAATAGCAACCTGGCAATTCATCACTCTGAAATCGGTTTGTAAATCTTCTGCACTCCACCTCAGCATAAATGAAAAGATCCGGATTTTCAGTTGCAAGGGTACGCCAGTCATTTCCTCTCTATGGGTCAGAAACTTGTACTGCGCATCTTCAAAAGCATTTACAGCAGGATACTGCAGACTTCTGACAACATCTGCCTTCGCTAAAAACTGAAGACTGAGAGGCCTAAGATAAATCCCTGGCAACAGGAAACTCTAGGAACGAACCAACCAAGAGCTGACTGCTCAACAAGCATACATGAGAAAGTGAAGATAAACTGAGCATACGCTGAAGAAACCATCGAATGACATCGTGTGCAATGCTCTCTTTCTCTCAGGTGGAACCCGAATTAGGAAGCACCAGTGGCTCGTCATTGCGAGATAGACATGCAGGAGATCGTGTGATTTGAAGGAAGAGATGAGGGATCATAACTGATCGTTGACCCAGCCGAATAGGACAGCAGATAATAGAACGCAGTGGAGAGGTGTTGTTGAAGCACAACCTTTCACTCACAACCCAGGGGAACGATAATAATATGATTAAATCATAATCAAAACCAGCTGCATCTCCACTGCAAGCGGTAACATGTATGAGAATACCAGAACCAATATGAATAGGATCAGAAATTAAATTTTAATCTGGTATCAATCTCCATATCTGCAGCACTCACTACAGGGAAAATAATTTATCATTTTACGACTATCGCCAGTCAAAACATTGCGTCAATATATTTCAGAGAATCAGTGCGTACATCGCCAATGGCTTCTAAAAAACATGGCTGCGATGCCTCTTCTACCTGAAAAAGGATAAACAATAGGGCACTACACGAAACACTGAGCCAACCAATAATATATCACCTGAAAATATGCTGAAGGAAATGGGGGTTGCGAAGAATGCTTTGCCTAATTTGCTCATAAACACAATGTGTGATATCAGCCGATGTTATTTTCAAATTTCCATTTAACATCTCCTCTCTGAATTGTATCTCTGATTCTGCAATACACAGAATAATGAGGAATTTCAATTTCAGTTGGATTTCCATCGAATATGATTAGCCGTTGATAGAAAAAATGTAGGTTCCGTGTCACTCACTACTACTTTCTATTCAACTTCGATGAGAAGTGAGAATAAACAAAAAGGAAATGGAAAATGACGCACGCCTCATAGGAGACAGTTCTCGTAGGAATAATCGGTATGCATCAATACACCATGTGAAGGAGGTGGTAATCAACCAAGAAAAGTGATGCTACAATTTAAAGGCAGGAATATTCAAGAAAAAGTGAACAACCAGTGAGTAGACTGCATAATTCTAAAATTGTTTGAGGAGCAATTGAGGAATAAATGAGTGGTCAAGTTGATTGCGCAATGAAGAATTAAAGATGACGTAGTGAGAATAGTAAAATGATTCTGACAGCGATAATCTGTAAAAGGCTTTGTGAGAGGGAAAATTGTCAGTTTTACATTCGTGTAATGATGGCGTTTGTAAGAAAAGGAGGTGAAGCAATCATTTCTGAAAACAAATGCCTGGCATCTTCAGGTTGATCCTGGTGGTTTCAGGGGTATCTAGAAAATGAACTCGCGAGATGAAATTATTCTTACTAGGAATTCCATGTCCCCACAAAGACTTTTTCTTTTGTCTCAAGGAGATACATCGTGCTGAAGTTTCTGTAGCAGGTTTGTTTACAGGGTGGGGTTGCTAGCCTCACGCCTGAGAAGGGGGGTTGTTACATCAATTTATAATTTAGAGAGAAGCGACCTTGTGGGTTGCTCCCCTTAAAAACCAGGAAAACAGGGAATAAACAAGCAGAAAAACACCAGCACAGGAAAATAATTCACAACAAGAAGGGTGACAAGCGACAACAACAATAATAATATCACAGTCAATTACAGTTAACCAAAATGATACCGAAATCATAGACTCACTGACTTGAGCCAACTTCAACATGTAAATCCGTCAATATATATACAATATACGGATCAGAGACTTGGCGCGTCATAAAGAGCATCTCAAGCAAACTATAGACCTTCATTAACAGTTGTCTTCGCTCAATACTCAAGATAAGATGGCCAGAAAAGATCAGCAACAGGGATCTCTGGGAGCGAACCAACCCAGCAGGAACCGATTGTGAAACAAATAGGCAGGAAGAAATGGAGATGGATTGGCCATACTCTGAGGAAACCATCAAGTGACATCACTAGACAAGCCCTTGAGTGGAACCCGAAAGGGAAGCGGCGAGTTGTTCGTCCAAAGGTGACTTGGAGGAAGTCATGTGAAGAGGAGGTGAAAACGTGTGGGCAGACTTGGAGCCAGGTGAAGACCCTAGCAGAGAACAGAACGCAATGGAGACGCACGGCTGAAGCCCTATGTTCCTGTAGGAATTAAAGGATACAATAATAATAATTACTAGGAATTCGATGAATAACTTCCAATGCTTTGTGACCATCAGTTTACTCTCACCAAATACAAGGTGTGGTAGAACAGAGCTGCGAGTAGATCTTGTTCATGCGTTTTGTGTCGCCGTGCAGGATGATTTTGGGAAATCCAATGATGAAGAAGACTAGCCATGTGGCCAATACAACTGGTTTCAGATGAGCAGTGAGGCAGGTGGATACTCACAAAGGAGGTGAAATAAGAGGCACGTCAATATAACGTGGAATGCAAGTTGTTTGAATAGGTTTGACGGAGTTAGACAGAAATGAACCCGGTTCCAATACGCCTCACCATACGATGAAGTGACGAAATGAACGCAAATATCATGAGCTATTTTTATTAAGTGAGCAGGTGTCTTTACCAACTCACCCACTCGATACGTGAAATCGCCTCATTCTGGATAACTACCATTAGCGTACTGCATATGAGCCGGATTGTGTGAATTCTGGTTCGAAAATATCTTGAAATAACTACAAACAGGATAACAGGAAGTCAGGAGTAACAATATCAACCCATATTTTTATTGAATGAGCAATACGAAAACTGGTATGGCAATAATCTGCATTGTTGTACAATAGTAGTTATGTGTGAATGACAATAGACAGTAACAACTGGTCTTGTCTTGTATGCATATTAAAATTTGACACTGAGTGAAAGTACAACATTGCGATAATCTTTGTGCAGGTAATTATGAATTACAAATTGATAACAAATATGAATGAATAAAAGCCGTGAACACAATGTTCAGTAAATGTTTCGGAGATTCGGAATATTCGGAATTCCTAACATAATTAAATTCGTCAGACTCAAATGCAGTCACATGACAGAATTAGTGAGATGAGTGAATTGTCGTTGATGAAGTTAAATAAATACTACGTTAATATATGTTACAATTAACTGAAATCAGATACGAAAATAACGTAGAAACGTCGACGATTGAAAAACGTCTTGTTGCCTTTGCTAACTACAATGATCGTGAGCATTATTGATGAACACTGAGAGGAGAATATTTATTTCACCGATTTCTGTTTGCAGCATCGTCTATAGGAGAAGTAGAGAATGGCGAATATCATCGAAACTGACACGACTACTATTGCTACAATGATACCTGAAGGAGGAGGGGAATGAAAACAAAAGAGAGACTGGATCATATTTTATTTCACATGTAGTGAATCGACAGCATCATATCACAAATTGTTACATATCACTAAACATAATACAGTCATGTCGTTCAATAACAACACCAGTGAATTTCAGAAGGGAAAGCGTCGTTCACACATGCAAAGATGCCAGTGGAAGCGTGTCTACTGAATCTCACTTCAATTCTAGTCGCCAGGTGAATTCGGATAACCTGTCTACATGTACACGTGCGTATCTTCATGCACTTCATACTTGAATGGCAACATGTGGAGTGACACCCCACCCTCGATCGACTCATTGGATGTCCTGTTTGAAAGACTGACAGAAAGTGAATGTAATGTGATTTCATTGAGCTCATTGATGACAGCGATCCGCAGCAGAGAATTTGACAATTTCCCTCAGAGTGAAGTCAATTCGCAGCATTCTCCTTTCGGAAAGTATTTTCGAAAAGAAACTGAAAGATGGACAGTGAATCTTCAGTTATTATGTTGTCTTTTAAGAAAACAGCCATATTGACTGAAGCAGAGCCTTGTGATTTGGGGACTAGTACTGACCCTTCTGGAAGTGAAACATATTGAATGGAAATAGACTAATCGTCTGGTATTAGACTGAAGAGTGGTACTTGGTGGATGGTGGTCTAACTCCGTCTTTGTCGAAGAAGCAGGTAGTGAAGACACTGTGGTTCACAAGTAGTTGTGTGTTAAGCGACACTGAACGAGAAGCATGAGAAAGGACTTCAATCGCTCCGTTCTGTATTCATCATCATCATTTATGTAAATCATAAATATCGAGGTCTCTGTGGGATGACTTTCGAAGGTGCCAAGCCAAGTTGAACTGAAACGATTTTACCCAACTCACTGACCAGAATACGGAGTGCATTCTGAATCAGATGATACTATCTTTCACTGACGGCTTTCATCTCCCTAAATTCACGTGCATCCATGTGATTCATTTTTTCTGGAAGTCTTGACGACTGCAGAGAATGGCAATGACTCGATCACCTGAATGCTTGAAAATGTCCCATGTATAAAAGTGATGTGTGCTATCGTATTGCATTCTCTACTGCTATATGAAAGTCAGGTGCATTTCCGTGAATAAACTGTTCCTGTGATTAGACCAGTTTTGTAGTTTCAGGATAACCTGTCGACCTTCCAGACGTTCTGTTTGCTGCAATTATCTCTTTCGATTTGTTCACTGTTTAACCTACTTATTCGTATGCAGGTATATGTGTGTAGTGGAAGGTATGTAGCGTGAGCAAGTGATCACCATATATGATCAGCATCAGTGGGTTCATCAACTGATTCCATGAAATCAGTTAATTCGAAGACCGTAATTCACAGAATGCATACGCTTTCTGGTTGTTGAATTCGTTCGAATTTTTATCGTTAAACACACATTATGGAAGAGTGTATTCACCTTTCAATAACACATAACATTTTCATCGTTGTTTTCATTCTTTATTCAATGTTTACATGGATAAGTATGCATTACTTGTCATTGGACACATTTACTCTACAGTTAGTTAAGTGTCGACAAATACAACAGCCTGACTTATTGTCCGTTTGTTACAGTGATCTTGTCAGCTATATCTAGCACGGACGGGAATTTCATAAATTTTCAATTCTACATCTCTGGTCACCAGATCTGAAAAATTTCTTTTTCGATGACAATGTTTTATGACCTGCGTAGATAAATGTGATCTCACTGTACATATGTCAGAAGACTGAGTAAGTATGCTTTAGAATGACAAACGTCTAGGAAGTGAAGCTGGCACGAATACACAACCAAGAAATTCATCAATCTGTCCTTTCAAACTTTCAAAGATTTAGTCGATAAATTTCCATTGACGTAACAGAGAATCGATCAGTGCTTGCTGGAAGCACAGACGCTGCTTGGCGTATTGTTCGTGGATTCCGGATGACTGATGTTGAGAGTAAATGTCACATTACTCATAGTAATCAAATTGAATGAATAAAATAAATCACACTGAAATGTGGAATTATTTCGGACGCGAAATCATCATGTATGCAGGTGAACAACACAAAATCTGAGAAGATTCTACTGAAATGGTTTGTGTGTGTGCCGGTCTGTGAATTTGTGAAAAGCCAGTGATCGGTGTAATGTACACAAGCGAGTGTGATTAATAAATATACTCACCTGTCGACGCCGACTGGACTTCTTCCTTCTCTATGTTTGTCGTCTGTGGGAATTCTGAAAAAGAAAGCAGTGTGACGAGTGTAGTGAGTGAATCGGCGGCGTGTCAATCAATATAAACTACACTCTTCCTCATCGTGAGGACAGAGATGACGACAGGTGAATGTTAAGGCTGCCTGTTATTTGCTGACGTCAATTTTGACAAAGATGTGAAGTGTTGATGACTGGTGATTCAGTGAGTGCGATCACCCACTCACATACGATACAACAAACACATGCACTCGAACAGATTGTGCTTGTCACGGTCGGTGTTAGCCCTATTTTCTTATTTGGTTTGAGTTATTTTTCTTCACTCTTTTGGTTTTTCAGTGGTGTTTTATTCGTTGTTCTTTCTTTCCTTCTGGAAAGTTTCAATTTATTTTGTTTGTGTTTTCATTCTCTGTTGTTTTGTGAGGCGCATTCTGTGTAGTTTTTCTTCTGGTGATGACCATTTTAACTGTTGTCTGACGGTGGGAATTTTGTTATTTTGCCTGACTTCCCTGTGCATTATTTGTTTTGTTGTTCTTCTCAGTATTTCTATTTCATTTTTACTGCTAAATGGAATGATATTAGAAGAAACTTTGCTTCATTTTTAATCCGTGATGTCGTATCTCTGACTTCACTGTCTTAGTGCTATGCAACTTTGCTTTGTGTATATCACTGTGGTTGTACACACTGACTCCGATCAACAAATCACTGGAGGCACTCAGCTCTCCGTTGTCATTCATTTCTCCGAAAGCCTCTCGACTCATGATGAGTTCTTCTCCCGTATTGTCTGCTACCAGTGTAGCTTGCATTCAAATCGCCCATGAGGATTTCGACGTCTCCATCTTCGATGTTGTCCATTGCTGTTGTCTATTGTAGTTGTCTATTGAAATCTGCTTTCTGCTATTGTTCCGAGTTGCTTGTAGGTGTGAAGCATCAGATGATTGTAAGCTTTCTTCCTTCCTGTTGAGTTGAAACCTGGTGTTATGATCCTACAAGAGGAGATTGGTTCCCAGTGCGTTGTGGCCTGTCTGCTACTGGTGACATCACCATAGCCACTGACTACCTCAGTGTGCTCGTGGTTGTTGTCTGGGTGATCAGACCGGAGTAGAATACTGACCATCTGGTTGACAATTCGGTTGGTCCACATCCACTCCACCTGCTCTCGCAGATTCTGACCATTTCTATACCATATCTCCTCATTTCCCTAGCTACCTGGACAATCTTCCCGGCTTCGTACATTGCATGAGCATTCCACATCTGCATGCTTGATTTTGTTTCCATCGAGTGATGACGATTCATCTGGCTGACTGGTTTTCCGGAGGCTATCGGCAGCCAGCGTCACTTCACCTCTACGATTCCAGAGAAGAATGAGTTTGCTTTTCAGTTGTTTTGTATTTGTATTGTTCTTCTTATTTGCTTAGTTTTCTGTCACTGTTTAGTTTATTTTATGGGGTAGGGTCTTCAGGGTGACACGCGACTCTCGCTGTTCACCCGGGCTTAAGACCGGTTGCAAAATCAGCCAGGTAGTAAACTGGGCAAGGTTGCATCACTACGCGTGAGTCTCAAAACGGAATTCAATTGTGGGTGTGTAATCATCAGTGGAATTGAGAAGCAATAGACTGAACTCACGTTTTGGGATTCCTACAGTCGCCACCTTCGCCATGGCTACTGGGGGTTCTGAAGAAATTGAAAATCAAATACATCGTAATTAGGAATCGACAAATGCATCATTTTAAGTAAAAAGTTTTACTTGACTGCCAGGATATCGTAACGTCGCTGTGTGTATGCCGTTTTACCTTAGACGTCTGGAGCGTGGGTGTGTACACTTCACCTCTCACTTGTTAAAAATCACATCATTTTCATGCGTACTGGTTTTCACTTCGACTGCATATCTATCTTCTCATATTAGTCTAAAGCCTAGCCTCAGTAAACGCCTCCATAGCTTTCATTCGGCCAACAATCAATCAGCTGACATTTCCTTGATCATCACATCGTAATAGATCTCTACCGAATATAACAGTAGTATTCTCAAACACCTGAATTTTTTCCCTCTCATCTGTCATCCTGAAGATTAAATAAACATTTTCACCCTTCTTTAAACACTCTACACAGATGTACGACAATAACATATCTGAAAGGGCTATCAGAGCTGAAATCAACTTGCAGATCGGAGACTGACTGCATCAACTAGTTCGAGTCTCACGAGTGGTGACACATTGCAGACAAACGATGCCAAATCTCTCTGTTTCAATCATTGATGAGAAATGAACTGGACTCACGTGTCGTGGTTTCTACAGCCAATGCCATCTTCTTTGCAGTGTCAACTGGAGCTTCTGAAAAAAAGTGAAAATCATGTGCATCCGAATTAGAAATCGACAAATGCATCATTTCAAGTATGAAGTTTGACTTGACTGTGAAGACATCGCCACGTCACTCTTTGTCTACTGATTTATCCTAGATCTCTGCAGCGTGTTTGTTTTTCGTGGGTGTGTACACTTTCACAATGACTTTCTGAAAATCACATCATTTTCATGAGTAATGATTTCCACATCGACTGCACATCTATCTACTTATATTCGTCTGATGCCTAGCCTCAGTAAACGCCTCCATGGCTTTCATTCGGCCAACAATCAATCAGCTGACATCTGCTTGATCATCACATCCTAGCAGAACTCTGCCGAATAGAATAGTGGTATTCTCAAACACCTGAATTTTTCCCTCTTATCTGTCATTCTGAAGATGAAATAAACATTTCCACCCACATTTAGAATCTATCTACACTAATTCGTTAACCCTCCTACACATATACAGGAAAAGAACATACGTGACCAGAATATCTGACCTGAAATCAACTTGCAGATGTGACTACTGACCTATTCAGTCTCACGAGTGACACAGTGCACACAAATGACGACAAGTGACTTTGTCAATCATTGGTGAGAAACGAAGTGGACTCACGTGTCGCGGTTTCTACAGCCGACGCCATCTTCTTTGTAGTGTCAACTGGAGGTTATGAAAAAAGTGAAAATCACAAGCACTAGAATACGGTATTGAGAAATTGACAACACGCACGAACTCACTCACACACACAGACACGCATCATGAACCCAATGATCAAACTGGAAACGATGACGTTGACCGAAATCATTCTGGCCTCGAATGGAAGCACGTATTTGCAGTTAAACATGTGTGTGTAACACTCTCTGAGTATGGTGATGACTGAATGTGTGTGACGGGAAATTTATTTGCGTGTATGTTGCAATCTGAAAGTATACAGAGAATGAACTGGGCTCACCTGTTCTGTCTCCTAGACCATCCTCCTTCCGCGAGACCACTGGACGTTCTGAAGAATTTGAACAGCACATATATTTAGACACGCCATTGATAAATTTATTAAACTGTACAAATATATACATGGATGTGTTAGAAAGTGGCTTCCTCAATTTGGTTTTGCGCTGCCCCACATGTTTCCCTATTTATTCTCAAGATTGATGATGAACTGACTATGGTTAGAGAACCAATGGAATGCAAGGAGTACGTTTAGTTTGTTACATACTATCTCTACACTTTTAAGTCATATGCAGAAATCACCGCACCGATGATCGAACCCAGTACCTTCAGGTCACAAGGAAAGCTCGTAGGCCATCGATTCATTGGGATGGAAATCAATGGCCGGATCATCAATTATAACCTCTACCAAATGATCTATTTGCCATTTGTTCTATTCAATCAGGTCAGTGTTTTTATTCTGGACTCACCAATGATTATTTCTTCTTCATCTTCTTGGTAATCGTGTTTCGCCTGGTTTCCTGAAAAAAGTGTTTCCTGGTTTAATATATGCATGTTAATATCTCTATTTATGTGAACAACGTTTCATTCTCAATCACTTCCAATCTTTCACTTAATTTATCGGGTCACTAACTTCATTGTGTGCTATTGACAAGGTTGAGCATGTAGTAAGTCTCCTGTAATAATATAGAGTAGTCGATCATTGGGTTAAATGGCGAAGAAGGGAAATGGAAAGATTTTCAGTAATCAGTATATGAGTCAACTTGTTATCCTTAGGTTAGGGGATCTACCATCCAGGCTATTTCGCACATCGTCATGTTATATTCGGTGATTCGTGAACGAATGCTAGTTGGCTAAACAGTCTTCATTGCTCGACATATGCGTATCTCGTATTCTTCACAGTGAACTTGTTGCTTCGCCTTGTCTATCTCTGGTTTCAGTGAGACGAATATTTTGAGAGTTGCAGGAGAAACACTAACGTTCGTATGCAGCGTTTCTTGTCTAATTCGTGTCATATATAGACTACATGGAGAACGAGATATTTTAGATTCTGGAATGCTTCTTTGCTTTTTTACTTGCTTGTGTGTATTTCTTACAGCTTCTCTCTGTCATTTTCATTATGAACACCCTCATTGATCACTCACGTACGCTAATCCATTTGCAGGACAAAAACTGAAAATTAACTGAATGCAAAGTAGACAAAATCGAGATGGAGAAGGATAACGCTATTTGACGTCAAACAAAACCTGACATATAGGGAGTTTGGGTTGCATTGACGAATTGCCAACGCCTTCGCCACACACGAAATCCGAAACTTGACGCCGTTTGTACCATCTTGCCTCACCATGTAGATGAACTTTAAAGATGACTCTGGTGAAGCTATGTGTCTTACATCCACCAGGTGCTCGAGAATTGAGCTGGTAGATGCCTTGCATTGTCCTTTTGCTAACCCTGCCGGATAATGTTCAGAGATACTCTTGGAAATTGTGCGCTTTGTGCGGCCAATATAGCTAGCTCCACACACGAGGATCTGAATTTATAAACACACATTGAAGTGGTCCAAAGTGGCAGTTTATCCTTCACATTTCCATCGATCATTTGTTGGTTGTAGAAATTGATGGGTAGCGCAGCCGTAAAGAAGACTGTTCTAATTGATCTGCATAAGTTATTCTTCCGGATCTGAGTTGTGGTATCACTCTTAAATTCGACGTTCATAAACAGCCGTTTCTTCGACACCGTCTGGTTTCTTTCAGGCGTTTCCCTTAACTTCATGTTTTTCTCGATGAATCCTGAAGGATATCTATTTTTCATGAGGACTCATCGCAGTCGCTCTGGTTGCCCATCAATTGTATCACTGGATCATATCCTTCTTATTCTTGAGGATAAGGAGTGGATCAGCTTTCTCTTTCTCCTGAAAGGGACTCTAATATCACAATTCCTGTATTGACCATTACAAGTTGGTTTCATGTAGATCGATCTTTGAAGAGAACCATCAGATCTCATATGAGAAAAACATCCAAAAATGGAATTCCGAGTTCATCTCTGATTCCGACGTGAATTCGATGGCATGATGGCAGCTGTTGAACCCATCAGTTATCATTTCGATCTCGGTATTCTCGTCACATATGCTGAAAGTGTCACCCATGAATCTTTGGTACATATGGAAACTATCGATAGTGGGTTGTAACATACTATTCTCTAACCTTCATAAGAAGCAGTCTGCAAGTAAATGACCCAGTGGTGACTACGCTGCCACTCCATCCATTTGTCTATACAGTGTGTTCTTGAACTTGAATTGGACATTGTGATTGCACCTCGACAGTAGTTCCTTGAAGTAGTGGGTCGGGACACACGTCCACGTTATTATCGTCAATGAATATGCATATAAAACAAATAGTTTCAGTGAGAGGATCATTGGTAAAAAGGGACGTAACATCCATGGAGATCATTTTCTTCCCGGATACATTAGCACCACATATTGAATCAACGAGTTCAAATGAATCTGGAACACCATGCTGACAGAGCGTATTTCTGATAGGTAGGGGAATGTCTGCGAGCCATTTTGCAGTAGCATGATTTGAAGAATTTGTCATATCCAGGATTGGACGTAATGGCTGCTGCGCTCTATTCGTTCACTCTCAGTAGACCGTATGACCAAGGAATCACGAAACCTGAGGGTAGCATTCGTTCAAATAATTCATAGCCAATCATCGATTCGTTCTTCATATTCTCCAGCATTTGTGTTATCTTCCCTTCAGTTTGTTCCGTTTAGTCTCTCTGGTTATTTTCTTTAGAAAATTTGTTTTTATCTGATATGATAGATAACATTTTATCCACGTAGTCTTGGCGATTCATCGAGCAGAAGTCAGCACCTTCATCAGGGTGGGTAAGAACCAAGTCTTTATTCCTTAAAATTTCACGTATTTGACTACTGTGGTCGGCTGAAATCAATCCTGATGTGTTTGCTCAATCAGGAGATTCAAATCTGTACTGACCAGTACTTTCAGCTGTTTGATTTGTTGGGCATGGAGTAGATTCCGTAGATGGAAAGCTAAGGTGAGTCATTCGGAATAAAGCATTTCAGGAAATGCTGAAGCACAATCTGGTTGTCTGTGCTAATAAAAGCAGTCACATATTTATTGGTAGTTATATGTGAAATAGAAACATAATTGTTTGTCATTGTGTTTCTCGCATATATTCATACTCGACTGTCTCTTGTACAACTTTCGTCTGACTTCTGACATTCACTACCAACAACGGCTTATTCACCCGAAATCTTCCTAATTATTTATATTCTCGTAGAGTACATTGAGTGTGGGGCTGTGGTTATGTTGTAGAGTAATTGCTGAACACATCGCACGTGGTTGGGGATTTGATCTCCGGAAAACGCACTACCAAACCTCGTTTAGTCGATAGTGAGCGCAGTGAGAGACATGGTTGGGTGTCAGTCTAGCATCCCAACTCTGTGAAAAGAAACTTCACTCCTATTGGAACTTCAAAGCTCAAGCGTGAAGCTTCATGTTACACTCGGAACGCGAAGGGATAAATAACGCAGTAAATTACATTTATGTACATAAACATATAAACTCATGAAATCGAACTCACCTCTGTCATGACTGTGTGACTCTGCATTCGATTCGCCTCCTCTGGTTACTTGGATTAAATAACAAATAATTTACATTTATTTGTATGTACATAAATATGTGTATATAGCGCATTTTTGCATCTGCTTCCATTCGAAAACTTTGTGTGTACCTCAGCGTCACTTGTATTCATTTTACTTGCTTTACATTTCTCCTCAATTTACTCTTTCCCATTTTATAACAGCTTTGTACATTCTGTCACTCATACGTGTACAAGATAATATGTAATTATATCTTTCTTCTGAACAACATGTTCTTACTGTGTACGGATGTTTTAGCTGTGTTTCATCTGTAGGATTTTAAGGTAAAACAGAATTCTCTTCTATTCTATTTTAGCAAACCAATAAGATGCATCTGAAACATCGATGGGACACACGTCCACTCTAAGACTCGAACTCATGTCACCCAGCGCTGTAGTCAGATATGTTACCACTAAGCTATCTGCCCTCATGACTGACACACAATTCACCGAATATCAGAGATCGTCTGAAGTCCATCTTTGATATTTTCAAACAACACAGTACTTCAACGAACGAAATTAGGTCAGCACAACAAGTTCGCATGCAATGACACGGAGAAGAAATAAAACCAATCAACTGGTTATTCCCGATCAATAAAGTGCACTTCACAATGCTTACCCAGTTTTGGTAAGGAGAAACGTTCCCCATGCAATGTGGATATTATTACTTCTTCTGTTATCCCTTCACTGTTCCCTTGATTTTCTAAATAAAAGTTCTTGTCAGTGTTTGGTATGAAGTGCAATTCAAGCGGCTGGTCAGAGTATCCTCTGAAAATCACTATCACGTCATTTTCAGAACAAAATGACTCGTCTGTTTTCCAAGTTAAATAAGGCGATGCATCTGTATACAGTGGAAGATGGACATTTGTTATTCTTGGAACTGGGGACAGAAAAGAGAATGGAATGCAAATGGTCAGTATTCCATGTTAAATATTGAAGTGAACAAGAATACCTGTGTAATATAAACTAGATATAAGACTCCAGGCAACAAAGCATGTTGTTTTCTCGACTTCCTGTTAAGTTCTCACAGTTCAATGGTGTTTTGAAAAGTCATAGAAATGCCTACAAATGTTAGCTACTAACATCGGTTAGTAGTTAGATATGTGAAATCACGTATCAGAGTAATGCAGGGCATCGGATGCCAGGTGACTACAAGTGGCTGCTGTGGTGTCTTCAAACCACTTTGAGACATAGGCTTGTATGTGCAAGGCATTTGATGGAAAACCGTGGCAGGTGATAACATGTATGTGTGTGCATTCGTTAAGAAGCGTCCTTATTTAAAAATGAGTGAATTGAGAACAAGCATTTTACTTTACTATTTTGTGTCAACTGTAGACTGTTGAATGTTCGTGGATGTTTGTAGCGCGCAATCTACTCACCTCGAATGTATGTTAGACTCCTCTTTGCCCTGGCATAGTAAATGATGGAAATTGATGTCTTTGCAATTATGTTATACTTTTCAGGTTTGCATGACTGCCCAATTACATTTATTTCTGCTGTATCACCAGAGAGGACGGTGACGGTATCATCTAAAGCCCAGTTTACTTCTCGTTCCAATACCAGGTATTCGATGCCTTGTTCAACAAACTGATTCCATCCAAATACTAGGGAGTCCGTCTTTTCTTGAAGAAGCCCGAATGTTCGTGGTTCTCCTGAAATACACGAAAAAGTTGTAGTTAAAATCGAGAATATAAATTTGGATAAGCATCCTAACTTTAGATAATATTGAAGTTCGTTTGTCATCAAGATTGCTGTCCAGATTCCGCCAAGTGTTCCAGAATGCACCTGTGGCGAGGAGATCTATTCTCTCCTGTATGAAATCATGACGTCAAGTGTTGTGTGATACATTTAGATACCGAACGCTGGGTACAGCCGACACTCCCGTCTCCACAGGAGTAGGTGAATCAGTGGATGCACATTGCAATCCAAACTCAACTCTGATGCGATTTCAGTTGAAATCTACTCAACCCTCAACTATATCACGTTAGTCAACTGACTTATTTCATTTTATTTCAGTTTCCACCTAATGAACGCATTCAACATGGCGTAATTCCTGACTCAAAATTTACAATATTGAGGACTCATATTCCGAAATACTATTTCCGTTGTTCAGATTATTGGTTATATAGCTGTATGTATGTATGTTTGCGATTGTACAGCTTGAGAATAACATGGCTGAAGATATTCATTCTTCGCCGAACGCCTTCTCTTCCATTCACTATTCGAATCACACAATCAGTTTGAAAAGCAATACCACTTGAAATATGTCTGAAAACAGACTGATTCTGTCACAATCTGCCATTGAAATAAACCACAAAGTGAAACTTGCTGTAGTCGACACTGATTTAACCAGATATACCAATCCATTCCTACATAATTAATAATTCAACTGTCTTTTCTCAAGTGGTAGGCATCCACATGTGTGGTGAGCATACTCAAGCAGCACAACACTGCTACAGATTATGGTGCAATGTTTTGTGTTTTGTTTGACGTCAAGGGAGAACAAATCGCACCAGAATCTGAAGTGAACATGATGTCTACGAAGTCTGGCAATGCAACCTGTTAACAAGTGAATTTCTGCATTCCCTTGTGTTTCGAGTGGAACATACTGACTGAAGCTGGAGCTATGGAGAATCATTAACAGTGGCATATTCACCTGGTTGGGGTAGCCAGTCCTACACTCAAGCGTTCCTCTTTAACTGGCGCACCACAGGATGATGACCGAGGTTTAGGAGTGCATGATTAGCGAACGTTCTACCAGTGAAGCATTCACGCGAGGTCAGTTCCCTGGGAGGCCATGTACGCACGAAACCTGGGCTTTGTACTTCTCAGCGATCAACTTCTTCTAGTCGTAAACTAAACCAGTAGTATCATACCAGGTTTCATTTATTGTTACATGAAACAACGCCCGCCAAGTGTGCTCCAGTTAAATCACAAACATCTTACATACACGCTACCAAATAATGAGCAAACCAATGTCTTTTTCGAAATCAAAATACACTCAAATTATGCAAACTTTAATGACAAATATCAAAATACAGAAGACTTACGTCCTTGAGCATTGCCTTGGAGATATTCAGGACTATAACAGTCAACTTCTTCTTGTGCCAGAAAGGCGACTAATAAAGCAGCAAAAGCAACGCTTTACAATGTTTACAATGTTTAACACGTTTCTAATTTCAACGAAAATAATTCTTGAAATGTCACCACAAAGCATATAGGATAATGAATCAAATGCAACTGGATAGCCATTTCAAATAAGACGACCATTATTGGTCAGCTTTCATCGCAGTCCGTTCTCAGTTATTTCACCGTCTGGGAAGTGACCGATATCGTGTGTCTGGTGCTTGTGTTTATTCTCAATTGAACGCAATCATTCAAGTTGTCAATATGCGTTGGAACTTTACATCAAGGCGAATCTCACTCCCTAGATACAATTCATGTCTCATTTGAGACTTCAGCTTGCGTCAGTAGCCCATTCCACAGTCAATCACCTTACCAATCAGCAATTCGGGCTCACGATTGACATCCTCTAAGACACTAATCGATGTATTCAGATGCAATGTGACATCTAGGTGCAAAGCTTACAGCCGATTGTCTGCAACTACGTCACATAAAAACTATGAGGCGTCTAAATTTACACACCCATCAGTAAATCAAAGTAAGCAGTGAAGGCTAATGAATACCCCTAACTGTTAATAATATCTTTCACCATAACAAATTATATAAACTGAAATATCCGTCTACGGGTAATCGCGTTCTTAGTATAATCCATACATATTCAGTTTATTATGTTATAAACACTATTGTTATTGTAGGCATGAACTTTAAAATTGCTGTTGAGTACTTGCATGAAAACTCACCGGATATGAGAATTACGAGGAAGAATTTGACGCGAACAGGCAGTAACATAACGGAGATATAACAGCCTATGAAGCGGTATATTTATATATATATATATATATTTATATATATATATGTCTGTATATGTTCTAACTAATTAGGTCTTTTGTTTTAGATTTCACGTATTAAAATGCGTTCTACAGAAGGTTAAACTATTTACAAAAGACTCTACAATGTGAAATGATCTGATGTCTTTCACATAAATGTGCATCTTGCGTTGTAGTAATAGTGTTCAGATTTCTACACAAAATAGTGTAACGCAAGGAATGAAAGATAACTGGTACAAGACAAAAGAAAATTGGATATTAAAAAACCTCTTCAATTTACTGATTTGTTTACACTGAATTGTGACTATCGCCACAATCAACTTATATTGAACCAAATTTGTGGCGTGATAATCTGAGCACTAATAGAAATCAGTCAGAAAATCACTGAAATGAAGAAATTAAGAATAGAGTCTCGAAAAGAAACTAATTTACTTAAAAGATAACAGTACACAAACAGAATGTCAGATTCACTGAAGAGGTAAACTGTAGGATACGTAAACATTTCAAATATTACTAGACATCCTTATGGTTTGTGTCACTGTGACATAGTGAAATCAGGTATGTTGACGGAGTGCAATAATTGAAACACATTCTGCACAGCTAAGAAAGTGCGAAGAAAAGAAATTGGTACACGATACTCTGCTTCAATGTCTATCACCAATATCATCACAATCGTCTTGGGTTCCATGTGAACATATATCCAATCAACTCCACTCACTGCTGGCTTTCCAGCTGGCTCCATTATGGCTCATCAGCGTTTATTTTCTATTCGCACAAACACCACAACATCGTCCTTGGACTCAAGCTTAATTCGCCTAATTCATCGTCTATCACGTGACGTCACTCGACGGTCTCCTCCGCATGTGTCCAACCTATGTTCATTTCTTCCGGCACATCTATTTGGTGATTGATTCTCGGATGGTTTGTGACGAGTTCCTTGTCAGCTTTCCTTTCCAGCTGGCCATCTTATCTTCAGTTTTGAGGGAAGACAGGTGCTGATGTTAGTGTGTAGCAGTCTATCAGGAAATGCTATCCGTGATGCGTCCAGTATCGATAATATGAATAAGCACGATTTGACATTAGTGTTGAAAATCCAAATTTCGTTTCACATGCTGAGTGTGTCAGATTCCCTCACTGTCTGCAGAATAATGAATGTCTGTGTAGCTTTTCCCATTTTGACTTTGAAATCCTCACTTGTTTCGCTTCTATTATAAACGATGTCACATATACATATTATATTTTCATAATGATGGTGACCGATGCCTGTTCTTTTTCTGTGTTGGCTGGGTGTTGTCAGCACCTCTACCTTCTGCATTTTTTATTCCTTCTTTTTCCGCCAACTTGTTGGTTTTCACTGTGGATCTTAAAGCTTTTATGACATTACAGATACGACATCCACGTAGATCACACCTTCTAGTGTCTTCTCCTCGGTCACATGCATACACATCTCTCTGCTGTTCATGGTTGTTTTCATGTCCCAAACAACCACAAAGAGCAACATCAGCAACGCTAGGTGACAGTCTTGTTTCATTGATATAAAATTCGAACTTGTGCAGTGTGGTAGAGTGTTATTCTGTTATGGGTAAAATTTATTTTGAAAAAGTCACACAGTGTTATACAGGAATATTTACTGATGACGTTTCGAGCACAATTTATTGCTCATAATCATATCAACGTACACACACACACAACATTCTGACTAGAGCCACGTGTTTTTTAATTAAATGTCAAAAATTTTGCTCTAATATTATGTCTGGTTAGAAATCTTCCAAACTCTAGGCTAACAAATTCATATGAGATGAAAAAGAAACTAAATAACATTCAACTACAGAATACTAAAACAACGGTTAGTTGTGATATATCTGGTTTTTTACTAATATACTGATCAATATGGCCTTAGAAGCAGTTGAAAGAGAACTAACTGTAGATCCTGAACGCACTCATAGTACGAAGCTGCCTACTGAGGAAATTGTTTTTGAATTCGATTATGCTTCACATCTACTGTCCTTAAATTCCAGGGCAGAGTATACAGAGAAACAGAAGGTGTAGCAATGGGATCACCAATTTCCCTTATCTTAGCAGACATCTTTATGGACAGATAGAAAAATATTGCTCTTAATACATTCAATCCTACTCCAAAAATATGGTGGAGATATGTGGAGGACACTTTCACAGTGCTAAAAACAGAACATATCTGTAGCTTCTTGATACATATAAACTCACTAGTAAAAGGAATGAAAATTCACATTTGGATCGGAAAATGAACAAGGAGAATTAGCTATGTTAGATTGTAAAATAAAACAAATAAAAGAAGGTAAACTGCACACTAGTGTTTATGAAAAATCAACTTATTCCAATAGATATTTAGACTTGAATTCATCTCACCTGTTATCTCTAAATGCAAGCTTAGTTAAGTGTCTAACAAGCCGAACAATAACACTAATTAGTACAACAAAGGACCTTGGGTGATGAAATGAAACATATCGAAGAGGCGTTGGTGCTAAATAAATATTCCACAAAATTCATTAAGAAGATCAATAAAGGTCGAAAGCAAAATAAAAATAATAGCGAAACTATTAATGACAACATAAATATTAGAAAATGTAAAGCATCTGCGGTTTTACCAATTTAGTGGTAAGGATTCCTGGCTCTCACCCAGGTGGCCCGGGTTGGATTCCCGGCGCGGGAGCACTTTTGTGCGTCAGTAGCAGAGCGGTTAGAATTCTCGCTGACCATGCAAGTCAGGGGTTCGATTCCCGGCCGACGCACACCCGATATCTATGGTCGGCCTGCAAAATTTGGGCTACCGATATCCATGCTGAAAATTCCATGCTTGTACTGAAAATACGGTGTGGCATCAAGCTGTAATCAAAAATATAATATATATATATATATATATGTATAAGGAGGGGAAAACTGAGACTCTACGTAAGATTCTTAATAAAGCAGAAATTAGGGTAGCATTTAAATCTACAAACTCACTTAGAGAGAAGCTCCGTAGGCTAAAGGACCCTGTCAAACCAATTAGACAAAATAATAAAATTTACAAAATATCTTGCAATGACTGTGAGTTAGGCTAACTAAATAGGACGAACTAGTAGATCAGGGGTAGTCAGATTGTCAGAACATAACACTTTAGCTAAGGTTTGAATGCTTGACCGCGCGAAGATAAGTGACTTACAAAAAGATCACCAACTGCACTGCATGCAATAACACACAAGCACACAATAGGGTGGAGAGGGTCAAAATTCTAAGAAGTAATTTAAGTAGGTAGAGAAAGGGTGAGGTTGATTACTGAATCCTCGTTCATCGAATCTACACCCAACACGAGCAATAGGAGTCACTCATCACTCATACCGGAAATATGGAAAATACTACTGCCAATCAAATCAATTGATAAAAAAAATAATAGAACTATATAAACGAAATCAGAAAGTTGTGTGAGTACTAATGTCAGTAAAATGTTTGAGCATATATATATATATATATATATATATATGACTACAAATCATAAATGTGTGAACAAAACAATTCCAACAGTGGTGTGAACACGGGCAGTAATTTCGCTCGAGATATTACCAATAACAAAACTTATCATTGTGTGTAAACTATTGAAATATGATTGTACTTTATTTGATCTAATCCACAATGCTCAAACATTTTACTGACATTAGTACTCACACAACTTTCTGATTTCGTTTATATAGTTCTATTATTTTTTTTATCAATTGATTTGATTGGCAGTAGTATTTTCCATATTTCCGGTATGAGTGATGAGTGACTCCTATTGCTCGTGTTGGGTGTAGATTCTATGAACGAGGATTCATTAATCAACCTCACCCTTTCTCTACCTAATTAAATTACTTCCTAGAATTTTGACCCTCTCCACCCTATTGTGTGCTTGCGTGTTATTGCATGCAGTGCAGTTGGTGATCTTTTTGTAAGTCACTTATCTTCGCTCGGTCAACCATTCAAATCTTAGCTAAAGTGTTATGTTCTGACAATCTGACTACCCAAAAAACTAGACTGTTCGGCGTTTGTAAATATCACACTTCCTCACCAATTCCAGATTCCCGGATAACCTCTTCGGAAAAACAGACAGCAGTAAAATGTGCAGTATACAGTGCGAACATCTATAGATGCGACTTCCATGCAACCGAATCTAGTGGACATATCCCCGACAATCTCTTCCATTCGTCGAAACTCATAAGGATTTTATCTGACACAGCATTGCATATTTTTGAAAGACCATGTTTATTCTGAAAAATTAATTTGTGCCCAGTGGAGAATCCACAGTGAATCTTATCACGGGTTATTTACTGTTCGTGTAAGAATTTCAAGTGAAACAGAAATCTTGAGTGTATCACATGCCTAAGTGTTGTTGTCGTGAAGGCACACTGCAGTCAATTAGGATGTTAGCCATCCATTTCCTTATAGAATTACACGAAAGTTGGTGAATGATAATTGAAAAGCATATGTGCAACCTCTTGTAGCAAACCAAGGACACAACTGCCTGAATAAAACAATATCAATTGAGAGAAGTTGACAATTTACGGCGGATGGAAATCCTCGTGTCCATACAGTCTGTCTCCTACTTGAAGACTAGTTTATCACGACTGGTATTCATTTCATCGAATGCATTGGAATGAGATAGGGTAGGAAGGAAGAAGACTTTGTAGGGAAATTCTGTTGTCATCGTCTTTTCTTCCGTATTATTATTATTATTATTGAAATTATGATTTCCTTGGGTTCCGAATGAAACATGGGGCTTCAAGAAAAACACATCTACACTCTGTTCTATTTTCTTCAGTTCTCCTCAGCTGGGTGCATAATTGGCCATAATCTCTCATCTCCTACTCGCACGATCTCCTCCATGACACTCTCACACCCACGACCAACTCGTCGTTTCCGGTCCTGATTGCAGTCGAGAGATGGCTTGCATTGTGTGTGATGTCATTTCACGGCCTCCTCAGCATATGTCCAATCCATCTCCATTTTCCGATGCACATTCGGTGAGTAGTCGGGACTAGGTTGGTTTGTTCCGCT